CTGTTGAATCGACTGACATCGCTGACCAGCGAAATCCATCAACCTTCGATAGCGGTGGACGTGTCGTGAGACACGAAACCGATGAAAAAACGTCGACAGTTGAAAATTTCCCAATGAAACAAGTTAGTCAAGCTGATAGTTCAAAACATACCACTAGAATTCCCACCAGTGATAAAACATTCAAATGTGATGACTGCGGAAGGTGTTTCAATCGACCTAATATTCTCAAAACTCATCAGAGAATCCACACAGGTGAAAAACCTTTCGTATGTGATGAATGCGGCGAATGCTTCATTCGACTCAACGCTTTGAATAATCATCAAAGAGCACACAGAAGTGTAAAGCCTTTTGTGTGTAGTAAATGCAGAAAATGCTTTAATCACGTTTGTAGTTTGAAACGTCATGAAAAAATTCACACCGATGTAAAGCCATTCAAATGTGACGAATGCGGAAAGTGCTTCAATAGACTTAGTAATTTGCAAACTCATCAGCGAATTCACACCGGTGAAAAATTATTCAAATGTGCTAAATGCAAAAAGTGTTTTAGACAGTCTGGTCACTTGAAAATTCACAAAGAAACTCACTCTGATGATCAGCCTTTCTTGTGTCCTGATTGCGGCAAATGCTTCGCTCGTGTTATTCAGTTGGAAAGACATCAGAGGGCACACACATGTAAGAAGCCTTGCTTGTGTCTTACGAGCGAGAAAGGGTGCACTAACTCATGTTCACAGAATATATGCTGTAAGAGAAATGAAATTAGCTATGAGTGTCATGTTTGTAAGAAACGTTTTCCCGACTTCAAGCAGCTAAAAACACACGTGGAAATATACAAGAAAATAAAACCAATTGAAACTAATTTTGCACTAGACTCTCACAAACAGATTGATCGTTTGAGTATTGATCCGAGAACAGAAAGGGCAATCACTAATCGGATTCCGCCTGTGCAGTCGCAGCAAAGTCAGATGAAGATCACAGATACTGAAGTCAATATCGATTGCATTATGTTCTATGCTGGATTGTAATGTTGACAAACTCATTCTACTCATTTTGCTTAACGGTGATTCTTTTGTATGCTACGTTTAAATATAAATTATAGCTATACAGTAAGCAATTTTTTAGTGTTTTGAAGTAATAATCAAATTTGAGTTGTTGGCTTTTTAACGTGTATTCTTCATATATGATGATCATACATGTTATTAATGATGCTATTAGAGATAAATATTTTTTGTACGTGTTGATGACATTTACTAACATCAGTGCTGACTAAAATTCGATCTTATTCATTAATCGAGATCCAAGAATATTTCAATTTTAACTTATGCTCTAACCACAAAAGTGTCCAGGACGCTTATCGAACAAATTATAAGCATTATCAAAAATTTGTCACGAACGACCACAGAATATAAATGATCTGTCACAAACTATGAACGTGCTTGCTTCCTTTCTATCGAAATTGGTAGCCTTTCCAGGCAACTACAGTATGAAACAGTTATTTTTGGTAGTGTTAATAGTGCAAATACATTTGTTAAATTTAAACAAAACCCATAGTAATTTTAATTCAAGCAATCGCATAATTCAGGTTCGTTTTTCTTACAAACGAATTCTAAGTCTTTCAGTTTGTCCGAAAGTTGCAAGGAAAGCCAGGGCACGATTCTAAAGTTTGTAATCAAGATTCTGCTGGGGAGCTACCGAAAAATATGAATATAGTATGAATTCAAGTGCGGCTGAAGAAAAGGGCAAAATAACTTCTAAAATTGCTAACAATAAAGGAATTATCAGGTTACTAGTAATCAAAAAAATTTTCTGAGAGTCAGAAGTTATTTCAGCTCAGAAACACATTCTTAATTACAATCCATACTTGAATGTAATTTGCAAAGAAGAAAAAAAGAATCGTTGGAGAACTACCAAAAAATATGAATATAGTATATGAATATAAATAATATGAACAAACGAGCACCTTGTGTGATGTGATAAGCGAATTATATGATGTATGATATCACAAAGTCAGTGGAATTGGCAAGCATTTCTAACACAGTCGTAAACTTCGCAAACAGAGAACTATAACGAAAACGTTCTTTGCGTCCACGAATCATATTATTTAGCACTACTAATCTGAAATCTTCAATGTGAGCTTTCTAATTTCATACAAACAAGCACATTATGCTTGACGCTGTATTGAAATAGATTGCCGTGAAAACAACATCAGCGTAAACTTCCCAAGCTTTTCGCAATTTTTTTACTAGATAAAAGTACCATTTGCATGAAATAACTTTTGTGGGAACGAAAGGCGATTAAAAAATTATCGTACTAATTGCGACGTAACCTTATAATCATTTGCATTTGATATTTAGTAATCTTAATTAAGTCACTGGTGCCCTAATGAAAAAACAAATTTATTCAGTTGGACAAAGCACCTGAACGGTTGTTTCTATATCAAAATTGTTTGCACATGAACTTTGCACATTAAACCTTTCAAAAAAGATTTCAAAACTGCGTATAGGTCAACTTTGTTGCAAAAAGTGATCGCCCCTTTGTTACTTGTGTTACAACGTGATTTTACTTCTTTTTTAATTTCGTAAGTTTGTCAGATGTATGCGAACATAAGCAATTCATACTTGATACTTTTGATAGCATTGATAATAAATCTGTTGCTCTGATGATCTTCATAAATACCCATAATATGATACCACAAAGCGATCACCCTTTGAAACAAAGATAAGATAATTTTCACCAAAACAACCATAGAGATTGATGCATTCCATGGTGCATGAGGGTTTCATTTGTGCGTCGTAAATTCAGTTCATTGCGTAGGCTGTACGAAATGTGAATTGTGGAATGCTTTATTAACAAAATGTAAAATTATGCATTTATGGAATTCAGGTCAAAACTTAACAACTAAAGCTCAATTAACATGGTTTAAATACACGTAAAAACTGCTCAATTCTTGGCAACACAAGAATTACCACTAAGCAAAATCAGTAGAATGAGTCTGTCAACATTTACAATTTAGCATGGAACATAATGTCATTGATATCGACTTCAGTGTCCGTGATATTCATATGACGTTGCTGTGATTGCACACTCGGAATCCGATAAGCGATTGCCCCCTCTGTCCAAGTATCAACACTCAAACGATCATACTGTTTGTGAGAGTCTAGTACAAAATCAGTTTCATTTGTTTTTATTTTCTTGTATGTTTCCGCGTGTGTTCTTAGCTGCTTGAAGTTGGGAAAACGTTTCTTACAAACATGACACTCATAGCTAATTTCATTTCTGAGCACTTCGTTGCAGCATATATTCTAAGAACATAAGTGAGTGCATCCTTTCTCGCTCGTGAGACACAAGCAAAACTTCTTACTTGTGTGTGTTCTCTGATGTTTTTTCAAGTAACTAGCCAGAGCGAAGCATTTGCCGCACTCAGGACATAAGAAAGGGCCGTTCATCAAAGTGCGATTTTTCGTTAATTTCCAAGTTACCAATTTGACAAGAACACCTTTCGTATTCGCCAAATTGGAATGGTTTTTCACTTTGGTGAGATTTTTTATGACGTTTCAAACTACAAACGTCACTGAAGCATTTTCTGCATTCAGCAGAAATGTGAGGCTTTTTACACGTGAGTGCTTTTTGATGATTTTTCAGAAAGTCACGTCGAACGAAGCATTTAACGCATTCGTTACATTTGAATGGTTTTCCACCAGTGTGAATTATCGCATGACGTCTTAAACTACATTTTCGAGTGAAGCTGTTTCCACATTCACCACATACGAAAGGTTTTTCACCTGTGTGGATTCTCTGATGAGTTTTGAGAATATTAGGTCGATTGAAACACCTTCCGCAGTCATCACATTTGAATGTTTTATCACTGGTGGGAATTCTAGTGGTATGTTTTGAACTATCAGCTTGACTAACTTGTTTCATTGGGAAATTTTCAACTGTCGACGTTTTTTCATCGGTTTCGTGTCTCACGACACGTCCACCGCTATCGAAGGTTGATGGATTTCGCTGGTCAGCGATGTCAGTCGATTCAACAGCCTGCCGGTAAATTAAAGTGCACAATGTTTGGAAATTGAAATTCAATAAGGCATAAATGATCCTGAATATTTGTGTTATGGGATGTAATTAACGGCGTTAATGTGCATATTCAATTTGAAGAAAAACCTCGTCAGTGGTACTGTTTCCGC